TTTTGGTTTGACCAGTAATCTTAGGTATTTCTATGTGCAGCAAGTAAATTATGCAAATGAACCAAATTTGTATTTGAAATAATGGCACTCTAAAATGAATATTTGTGTTAAGCAAAAAATGTTCTGGTGTTTGCCAAAGATGGCACAATTGTGAAATGTTCCCTCATGTGCAACATATGAACCTTTGTTGATATTGCCACACTTTACAGTTGTCTCATGTCTCCCACACCTCAATTTTACTTCACTTTTACAAACTAATTACTTCACTCGGGGGAAAAAGTTCATTCTGTGATGTCCTTTCTAGTTTTAACTGCTATCACAAGAGTGCACAAACCTTGGAGTCATTAGTATCATTTCTTGATCGTCTGTGAGGCTGATTAACAGTGTGACCGTTGGAAAGGCATTCTGCTGGACAAAGCTTTTTGTCTTGTGTCCTCTCGAGCTCTTCGTTGAGGGCTTGGACCTGCACCTTGACCTTGACCATCTCCCTGTTCTTCTGCTCCAGAGCTTTCCTGGAACCCTCGAGTTCTTCTCCCAGATTCACAAGCTGCTGCTGCTTCAACATCCTCTCCTCCTCCAGGTGGAAAATCCTCTGTTTCAGGCACGCTGCAATCCTGTTTGCCTCCTGCAGCTGTAATGAGTGAATACTTAAGGTCTTTGAATTACACCCTAGTTTGAGTTGAAGTCTCAAGTAATTGCCTTTTCAGGAGGGACATTGTAATTTTACTAAATAGGGTTGAAAGCTTCTGTATGTAGTCTGTCAATATTGTAAACAGGTGGGGAGAGACATTTGAAATGGAAGAGCTAAGGTAATTTAGAAGTAGTGCAACAGCTTTTGTATAAATCTTACTTTGGAAATTCAAAGTCTTTAGAAGTCTAAGGGACTTGAAAACAAACAGGCATGATTTGTGTTTAATTTACAACTGTTCAGGATTTATGGCTGATGGTCTTTTCTGAAAATTGTTTAACTTTTGATCTTGCTGTTAGGTCGCATACATTTTTATGAAAGGCAAAGAAAATAAACTAAATGAGAATGTGGGTGCCCAGATTTTAGCCATCTTTAGGGCATTATCAGTTTTCTATGATCCTAATAAAAAGTGATTAATACGGCATTGGAACAAATTCTAGCAATGTTTTTAATAGTCATGCAAAATAGTGCATGATGTCATTCATGCTATAGAAAAGCATCCTCAAGCACATTTAACTTACTTGGATCATCAGTTCACGTGATGAATATCTGAGCTCCTCCAATTGCTCCACCTTTGTCTTGCATTCGGTCAGAACGCCAATTAGGGAGCTGTTGGACATTTCCATTTCCAGTTCTCTGATCCTGTGTGCATGGCTCTCAGATTTCCTCTTCTCTGTGCACAGCTCATTCTCCAGTTCTCTTATTCTCATTTTGGAATCCTTCACCTTATTGCACAGTCTGTTATTTTCACTCTGGTAAGATTCGTGCTTCAATTCAGGGTCCTGCAGCTCCTGAATAGAAGGCTCTGAAGGACTAAGTCGATCTCCTTTACATTCCATGACACCATCTCTGTCATCTTTGCCACATTGTTCTGTTGACTGGTGGTGCTCTTTCGGTTCCTGTTGAATTTCTCTATCGTCAGATGCACGTGAAGACACTCGCTCCCACCTGTCGTCTGCCAGCACAAGAGCCTTGTGTGATTCCTTCTGGTGATGCTCACCATTAGGAGTGACCTGCAACAAATCTTTACCTGTTGGGTCCAGAGGCTCATTTTCGTCACGCATGATTGTAGACTCCAAGGTATCCTCAAAGACTGATTGCCCTATGAGAACAGCTCCAGGATTTGATCCAGCTTGTACCTCACACCTTTCCTTCTCAGATTGTAGTGGGAAGCCATCATCAGTGTCCTGCTGTTTGATTTTAACAGCCCCATCTCCAGGGCTCCTCTCTAGTTCAGACACTTGTTCTTCCCTTCCATCCATCTCATCCAATTCTTTTATAGACTCCAGTGGAGACGCATGGTAAATCAGGTTACTAAGGCTGTCCTGTGGATGAGATGCTGCCAGCAGACTTGCATAAGATTGGTCTTCATTTTCAAAAGGGACCTCTTGTCCCACTTTGTCTGTTCTCACCCAAGGCTTCTCTATGTCCCTGGTTATAGATCTAACAGAGCCAGTGCTGTGGCTCTCCCCAGTCTCATCTTTACCATTCTCATTTTTACTGTCTTCGTTCCTGACCTGCGTGCAGTGCTCCTCTTGATGCAACTCATCGTGGACTGTTAGCGCCTTGATTGTTATCATCTTGGCAGTCTAGAACCGTTTTAGAAAAACATATTGAGGATGCAGTCTTCTTATCAAATTATTTTTTATAGATTCATATGCTAAACTTAATATTCTACTATAGTTTGAGCATTTTATCATAGCAATGCATTGTGTGCATATTTGGAAATTCAAACATGAAGGTCTTAAACCTAAACATAAGTTGTTGTTTTTTTTCGTTCTACAATAAAATGTGAACCTTGCATATTGCAGGAGTCTGAAGACTACTGTGTAGCACGCACATACATACAGCAAGACCAGCTAATTTCTACAAAAGCTTGAGTCCAAAACTAAAACAGTAATGGTCAATGCGTAGACATCATTGTTTTGTCTTGTTGTTTATCCACATGTCAATTTTATTGCAAAATGAAGATAAGGCCACAGAACGTTCTTACCTCCAATTAGCAGGGCACTTCCAGGTTCTGACGGTTCTCGCAAGTCCCTCAGACCCTGTAAGTCTCTTTCCTGTGACTCCTTTATCAGCTGCTCAGGTCTCTTGTATCTTCAGTGACGAAAGCATTGCCTTTGTTGATGGAGACCAGGTGATCGGGGATCCAGTTACATTGTCTGAGCTCAGCAGCAGTGAGCGTTTCACTGCAAGCACCAAACCCATTTCATACTTCAGCTTTTCTCCATCTGTGACAAAAATCATGACTGGCAGCTACATCTTCTAAAAACATCATATTTATCTGCATAAAAAGATTCAGGTTTCTGATGTAGCCTACATATATTCTAGCTACTAATGAGAAAACACCATTTTAAAAACCCAATTCACTTATTAACTCGCAATGTAATCAAGTATTTCTACAATCTATATAAATCTATAACACAACAGTAAACAGTGTATTCAGATTTCTGATGACTGAAGACTGCGTAATTAACTATCAAAACTATGAAAGTCTTTAAAGAGGACAAAGCATGAACAGGTGAGAGAAACCAGAGCCGCGAATTGACTAATACTTTGTGAAGCCCGTTTCTCAACTTCTTTATCTGTGGAATTTATGTAGAATATTGATCGGAATCTTTTACCGTTATCAAAAGATACAAACTTTAAAACTGGCAAACACCAAACTGTAGGATTATTAAATGGAACCTAACAAAACATATTATAATGCTTCCTCAATGTAAAGAATACTGCATAAGAACAAATACCTCTACTCAGATCAAGATTTATTGATTCGAATTGATGTATTTCCAGGTTATGGTATGTTAATAGTGTTAAAAAAGTTAATTAATTGCTACATATAGGTTACTGTCAATTTTATTTATTTTAACAATGAAAAGAACAGTACAATCGCTAAGCACCAGTGAGACCTCTATATTGGTTATACTTCAAGGACCTGTAGAGTATTCATTTCATGACATTAAAGCGATAGCAGTTATAGAGCTTTGCCTCCCAGATCTAAGTTGTCACCGAAGAAAGAATTAGCTATTATTTATGGAAAAACCATGTCTCAGTCCAAAAAAAGTGACCGAGTGGAGGATCAAAATACTCAGGAAAACATATGAATTCTCAGGAAACAGTTCAGATGCCTTAAATATTGGCTATAGTAGAGCACATTCTTTTTTTAGGTTAGCTATATTTACACTACGGGTCACCAGAAAGAACTGCAGCACTGAAACTGATCTGAACAACTGAACGAGATGGAAACCTTGGGCTCCTGCAGATTTAGCACAACCACTAACTCTCTAGTGAAAGTGGATTTACCGATTTGTTTCCACCATTAATTTTAAACATCTTTTTTTGTGCACCTGGGGGAATTCCTTTTCATCAAAAATTAATCTGCCGCTCTCGTCAGCAATACCAGCTGGTTTTCAAGCAACTTTCATGCAATTAAAATACAGAAAATTCCCTTACTGCACAATAAATGAAAAACAGCAGTTTAGGTTGAATTACAAATATGTTGCATATTAGTATTCCAGGAAGCACGTGTAGTAATTTAATGTATTCAGGCGATAAAAAGCACCCAAGAAGCCTAAAAGGTGAATCAATATTAAGCTTTAGTAGAAAAAAAAACTCAAGATGTCTATATCCTTATTTAGCATTAAGGTTTACCAATTTCAGGGTTTAAGGACAAGGGCCTTAAAACAGCTTTCAACTGGTTTCTGCTCGGCTTGTTGTTCAGAACCTCAGCATATAAATTTGGAGCTAATCCATGTCTTTCAGCCTACTCAGTAAAACTGTTCTAAAATGCAGATGATGTGTATCTGTTAGATCAATAGTCTGTTAAGAAGTGGGAATCTGAAAAACAAACACGTAGGTGTATTCATTGAAGATTTGTGGTTGCGTGTTACCCAAATGTCAGGTTTCAAAACATGTTCGTTTTTTTAAAAGCTGCCTTTCTTTTTTTGAAAAGAAATCATAAGAATACAATAAAAAGGTGAGCTTACAGTTCAGATCATATTCATTTAGAAGAACGTCATAAATAACCTTGGTGCTTGTGTGGTCTTACCAGCTTAGGAGAAATATCAACAGCAGAAGAAAAGTTAGTCATCAAGAAATAAAACTTCAGTCTTTCTCCCCTTCCTCCTCCAGCTTTATTGATAGTTTAAAATTACATTTCTATGTTCTAGGACTTCAGTTGCGTTTACCTTCCGACTTAAAAACCGAGTACAAGCAAATGATTTTTACAGTAGTCTAAGTGATATATTGTACAAAAATAACATTTTGATTTCTGTGAAAACATTCTTCTTACTCGAGTTACTTCAAATTCTGCTTTCAACTGTTCTTGAAGTTTTTTTTTCTCCACTGTGGGTTAAATGACTACTTTGAAAATCTGAGACTAACTTTGACCTAATGTGTCTCCGACGCCGATGCTGTAGCTGCATGCGGCTTGTTCGTACAAAACAATTAGAACTGATTTTTTCTTTTAATAATATGCAGAAATTAAACAGGTTTCTTAACATTTCTTTTCAGTTATCTCCCACTTAGCTGTACTGCTGGTAGGGCCCCGAGACTGATGTATCATGTTGTGTACTGCTTCCGAGGTCAAACACCTTTAGGCCAACATTTTTCCACCCAAAAAATTAAATCATACATGGAAGTACTCAGGCTTCCACGATTTCATTTTCCCCCCTCACTCAGGATCGCTTCGAAGAACCCGGAGAGGGCTTTCCTGACTCGTCTCTTCCCACTCATTAATCCCTATTCACCAGTGGCATGGAAAGGGGGTTCTTTAACAAAGCATTATACATAACACCTCTACCAAACTAAACATAAACATTTTTTTTGTATTAAATGCAGAAAGTCGATTTTGTTCCACCCCTTTCCTCCTTTTACATGTCAAGTAAAGCTCACTGGCCTGGGACTAGCCTCTATCTGCCAACCTTGGGCCAGTGAAGAGGATTCAGAGAAAATAATACAACCATCAATCAGAAAAAGGAGGGGCGACAAAGGAAAAGGATTAAGCTGTGGCCTCGATGGTGCATTCTCTTGCCAGGTGCCCAGACTCGCCACAGCGGTAGCAGTTGACTTCGCTCGTCTTGCTGCAGTTAATGGCAACATGACCGGTTTCACCACACCTTCAAGAAGAAGAAATCACAATTAATTCCAATGCTCCCCTTTCAAGACCAAACACATTCAGCCAATCCTGGGGTCATTCAAGCAAAAATAAAATAAAAAAAAATCAATCAATATCTTAATTTTGTACCTAGGACTGCAAGAGTACCAAGGTCAGTAAAGCTTGAGATGAGAGCACTGACAAATGACCAGCTAATTTATATACAGCTAATGATGTGTATTTTATGTAAGATGTATCCTGTGTATGATATACCAGGTACTACCACAAGAATAATGAAAAGATCTAATGAGATCTAAGTTGATATCAGGTGAATAGATGTACAGAAATACAAAACAGAGAAGAAAAGATAATGTTGTACACTAGTTTTGAATGCAAAACTTTGTTTTAGGATGTTTCAGAACCAAAGCCCCAATTCACTCGATTACAAAAGAAATCTCTTCCTTTTTCATTTTCAGTTCTTTGTGTGCTGCAGGTCAACCTCAAAAATGACACGCACAGCAGTTTTGTACATGTTTTCACAGATTTACTTTTATTGCAAGCTCCTCCTGTGGCATGGGTGGTCTAATGAAAATGCCAAAAGTGCTAATATTTTAACACTTTTTTTTAACATTGTAACCCATATTTCAGACCACTCCCTAGAAATTACAAAAACAAATTGTCGACAATCCTTACAAGCCACTTACAAGAGATAACTTTGACTCCTCGACCTTCTGTACTTTTTAAATTCAATACCCACAGTTAAGGTTTGCTACTATGCACAAAATCATAAAGCTCAAAAGAAGAGACTGGGAAATAATGTTGGGAATATCTATTTTATTACACAAACATTCAAAAGGGCTAAAAACATTGTCTGAATATCAATTGTACTTTTCACCACTTCAAAGCCCCTCCTCACATTCCATGATTACAATGTCAACATGCAGGCAGCACTGGCACAGAAGTCCTTGCAAATGATGGCCCCATTTACCTGTAGCACTTCACTTTGGTGCAGTCTTTCTGAATGTGACCAAACTCTCCACAAGAGTAGCACTTCTGCTCATCTGCGTGATCACAGTCACGGGCCAGATGGCCTGGTTTGCCACAGTTGTAGCAGTGCTGCTCTCTCTCCTTTTTCGGCTCCTTGCAGTCCTTTGCAATATGACCGCCTTTGCCACAGTTGTAGCATGCTGGAAAAGAAGTATGCTCTGATGTGTAATGCCAAAAACCGTCTGAAAACAAAAACATGCTAGATTGATTAAAGATTAAATTGGTGAAAAATGCTTTATGCAATGCATTTTGTAATTCACACATCAGACCAATTACCAAACATTAATTCTCAAAGATGAAAAACTGTAATAAATACAAATTCCCCAAAGATTTAGCCATTAAAACCCCCTTTTCAAAATGACTACCCCTAAGTTCCCTTGATACTTAAAAAGACTAAACATCATCCAGTTAATCTAACATACAATACACATGTGCATACAATATGCCAATTCAAATGTCTTGAATGCCGTTTTACTCATGTAAAAAGTACATAAGGATTCAACAGAAAAACATTCTTACCATCCTCCTGACGTTCACAGTCCTTGGCAACATGGCCTGGCTCTCCACAGCGATAGCAGATGTCTGAAAGAGAAACAAGTTTTGCATCTAAACCATTCTGCACATTTCAGACATGACTAGTTCTCCCCCGACGTACCACAAAGTGACAAGATGAACTCCAGAAAAAGCACCGAAAACATCACCCATCACTTTTCTTGGTGTTATAAAGAATTATTTAATTCAAAACATAAATCCACCGGGAGGGGGATTTATTATTCTTATGAAGAATGAATCCTTATTCTTAATAACGTCTTAAGAATTATTCATAGGAATTAGATTTATTTATTGAATGATGTTCCTAATTCAATACCATTTTACAACAGGTGGAGAAATCCAATCCAGCAACAGGACAGATCATCAAAGCCCGATGGAGAAGAGCAGAGATTTCCCGTTTTCTGACTTCTTAAACCACTGCTCCTTGACCAGAGCCCGCACGGAGACGCTGCCCGCCCGCCCGCCCGCTCCGCCCCTGAGGCGCGGACTTACCTCTCGCCGACGTGAACCCTCCCCGGCCACGGCTCCTGCCCACACGTCCGCGCCCCCCACCGGAGGGGCAGTCACGGGCCCAGTGGCCGTTGCGGCCGCACTTGAAGCACTCGCTGCTGCTCATTTCCACTGTCTGTGAGCACACTGCCGAGAAAAGACACGGGCCGAGGGGGGCCCTTTCAGAAGTGCCCGCTGAATCGCTCGGACCACCCCCAGGCCTGTAACCAAGCAGGAAGCGGGCTCCCAAAAGACCTTCGGACCACAACATTTTCACCTCTTCGTTGAATAAACTCCCAAAGCCCCAAACAACAACAACAACAACAACAACGAGGGGATTCCTACATGAAAGGAAAGTTACTTTCCAAAATGAGCCACCAGCTACTTTTCACATCAGGCTGAACTGTCCCAAACCGAAAGGGACTGGGTTTCCTAAATTGGCAGGCGATAATGAACTGAGTGCTTCATGAGTGAATGAGGACAGACCTCTGAAGAGATTTACTACATGATGACAGTGCCAACGATGGTGTTTCTGCATGAAGGAACTCTAGGTATCTTTTCCACACTGAATTCTTTAATTGAATGAGAAACATCAAGGGGGTTGCTCCCAAGATGTTAAGGTTTTTAATTCTACTTGAGATCGAACCCGACAGTTACCCGTGTGCGCAAACAGAGAACAAAATACCTCAGCTCCTGCAAACTGGTCCCCCATCACACTAAATAATATACACAAATTATCACAAGACCGAGCTCCTACACTAACTCAACTAGGTTCTTTAATCGCAGAATTTCAAAACCTCAATTTTAATCAATTTTCCATTAAAAGTTATATTAACTACTCCTGCTAATACACTTTTTTAAAGTCCCATTCCTGTCAGTTGAGTGTGATCAGTTCAAATCGAAACCTGTGGTAGAAGTGGCACTTATGACGAATTCAAAAGCCATGATCTATTTAGAGCCACGAAGATGATGAATTCTATGGCCACTATAATACTTCGTTTAAGTCCGTTTACTTAAGGGAAATACTACTTTTTTTCGAACAAATATTATATCAAATATAAAACGCCGAGGGAGGAACGCTAGCTTGCTTTAAGATTCTCGGAGACTAGAACGGTATGTCGGATACGGTTATGAAATCCTTTAAAAGACGGAAAATGTCAATATATTCTGTTAACCCCTGCTAACTTAACCTCCGTTACCAATGGTCGACGAGCGATTAAAGGAAAAGTTGAAAGCAATAACCGTGTCAGTTAACACCGAAGCACGTTGAACGTCCCTAAGAAAACGAGGCTCGGGAGGCCAGATTCTGACTCACGGTTCAGAAATCCAATCGATTGGCCGATTTCGTTACAAAAAATACCGGCGATATAAGAAGCCCCCTTTGAGCTTAGTCGTTTTATTTTAATCCTTTCGCGCTGGGCCTTTTGTAAACGCTTCTGAAACACACCCAGAAGCAACTTTAATCTATTTTACGTGACCTGTAACATTCCAAGGATTAAGGAAAAGCGGTCACTCGTCCTCGTTTTCCAGGTTAGAAATAACAATCGGGTATATGCATTTAATACATAAAACCATTCCGTCCGTATCTGACATGAAAAAAGAAGGAATCCTAAAAAAAAAAAACAACAACAAATGAAAACCTCTTCACTCCTTATATGTGAGAAGTTAAAACTAAAACGAAAGAACAGGCCGAAGCGCTGGGCCTACAATTAACAGGAGTGTATGTGAGCCGGGGGGAGGTAAAAAAAAATATTTTTTGGGGACGTTTGAGATGTGATTTACATCGCCGACTACAAAACATTATACTGGGAGCAGGTTTGCACGTTTGGAGAGGTTAAAACTCAAGAGAGAGGGAAAAAAAAAAATCAACCGGGCCGTCGAGGCAGCACGCTTCCCGGGAGCGCTGACTAGATCGTTTTCTGTCCCACGTTCCCCAACTTTTTACGTGCTCAGCTCAACCGCACGATCGAGGGGTATTTTTCCCCCCTCAACCCCAATTCCTGCTCCACCACGGATGGGGAGGGGGGCAACTACTACGTTTTAAGGGGGCGCACGCCTCCCAATACCGTTAACAGAGCAACCCCGGAGCGCCCGCAACAAGAAAACGAGACACATGGTGCCCCCGTTTCGAGATGATGCGCCTCGGCCCCGTCTTCTTCGCTCCCCGCTACCGTCTCGGCACTTACCGAAAAAACAAACTCCGGAGGGGTGTGGGGGGACGTCTAAACCGGGGGGTTTTTATTTTTAAATCCTCCCTCGACTTCACGTTGCCGAGAATCGGCTCGCCGGCTCAAGCAGCACCACACCGGGGAGGGGGAGACTGCGGCTCCACTCTGCGCGCCGCCCACCCACGCCTGCGGCCCTCATCCCCAGCGCGGCTCAACCTTACGAAGAGGCCCGGGAGGACGCGAAATAACCCCCCCACACACACCACCACCACCCCGGAAAACCACGCTTGCACGCCGCCAAATTTAGCACGGCGCCCCCTCTACCCCCGAGCCGCCTGCCGACAGATCGGCCTTTTCCTCGCGAAAATACCGTGATCGGTTCAACAACTCCCGGCAGTTTCCCGCGCCGAGCCTGACGCAGTAGGCCAAAGTGCGCCGTCAGAAATACTTGTTTACCTTTTCCCCCCCGAAAAAGGAAAAAAAAAAAATCGCTCCTCGAAACGCTCGGGTATCGGGGCGCCTGCGACCGCTGCTCCCTTCGGATTCCCGGTCGGGAGGGACCTCGGAGGACCGCGGGATGGTGGCACGGACGCCAACAATTGTGTTATTTCGGGAATTATTTCGTCCTTTTAGTGCACTCACCTTCGCTACGTGACTCGCCGCTGTTTATTTTCGGTTCCTCCTCTTCTCCGCTGCGCCACACGCGGTTTGCACACGACTCTCCGGTCCGGGGCCTCCTCTGCACACGGCGCCCGTCTCCCCGCCCCTCGCCAGCCAATGATGTGAGGGCGCCCGGGGACCCCACCTTCGGAAAGCGCCGAATCACCGACAGGCCCCTTTCCTTTCGAAATGCCCTCCTCTTTTCCGCTGTCAGAAAAAAAAAAACCCGAACAGAAAGAATGAATGACCCTTCCCCCCTTCGTACACGCACCCTGTCCCTGGCCTGGGGAATGGTGGCTTGCTTTCTCTTCAGCGTCATAATATAAGAAAGGGAAAAAAATAAAAATGATAACGTGATGGGAGATGGCTAAAGAAAGATCTAACACGTTGGACACATGTTGAACGGTCCACACATGATCGTTGAAGGGTGTGTTAAGAGATGCAATAGTAAACGTAGTAAAGTAGTAATAGTAAAACGACCGTGCTGTACTGGGGGACCCCAGTTTAGTCCCTCATCCACTTTCGGTACCTTACTCTATGAATTGGCTGCATTACTCTGCTCTCCTCCCCACTGATCGCTGATGTCATCCAGGTGGATGCTGCACATTGGTGGTGGTGGAGGGGAGTCCCCATTACCTGTAAAGCGCTTTGAGTGGAGTGTCCAGAAAAGCGCTATATAAGTGTAAGAAATTATTATTATTATTATTATTATTATTATTATTATTATTGCATACAGCAGGGTGTCCCCTACTGTCACCATAATGGGGAAGGGGTTAGCATCTTATCCCGGCGAAACACTGCCACCTACTGGTCCACCACCATCACTACGGTTTCCCTAAGGTTGCCCATCCCAGAGCTGACCAAGTCTAGAATTGCGTAGCTTTTGACACAAGGTGGTAACACCTTACTTATTATGATTTATAACCAGTGTCTTACACTTCAGGCAGTTTCAAAACCACCAGAGACCACATTGTTAGGACACAGGTTTATAAGATATGCGATTATTAAAAATTGGGATTAAAATGTAGGGAGGCAAGGTGGTGCAGTGCTTAGCATTAACACAGACTCCCACCACTGGGGTCCTGGGTTCAGTTCCTGGGGTGCTATCTACATGGAGTTTGCATGTTCTCCCTGTGTTTACATGGGTTTCCTCCTGGTGCTCCAGTTTCCTGCCACAGTCCAAAGACATACTGGAAGGTTAATTGACTTCTTTAAAACTGGCCCCGTTGTGCGTGTTTGTGCTTGTCTGTGACCTGTGATGCACTGGCGTCCTTGTCCAGCCCGTATCCTGACTTGCTCCCATTGTTTGCCAGGACAGGCTCCAGCCCCCTGTGACCCTTATTGGATAAGAAGGATAGAAAGTGGATGGATTGATGTAGATGCCAGTTCCAGCTAATCGATAGAAAGCCATTAACTTATTATTGCAACAGCTCTTATCCTGGTGATAGAAAGGTACAAAGGAGAGTTAATCAAGAAAAGTACTTAAGACAATTAGAGAGACAAGCAGTTGGCTTGTTTATAATGATATTTCTGCAATTACACTTTTATTTACTCATGCATGGAATGCTTAACACTGTGTAGGTGATTGCGTGTGCTTTGTACTTAGCAAGGGGTTAAGCCCCAACTGGCTATGTACAGTAAATCATCGGACCGAGTTACATAAACTAAATATCAAAGAGGAAATAAAAAATGAACAAAATATGGCCAAACTTGACATATCTAAGTGTGAACTTTTAAGGGCCACCCTTCCATCCGTTCTTTTGCAGTCTGTTTTCTGTTTTATGAGTGATTGTCTCATATCAACCATTCTCCTACACACGCAAGATCACAGACCAGCTACCAATTGTAACAAACTACATTTCCCACTATGCCTAGCAGCAGCGGGTCAAACGTAATTTCCGTGACGGAAGCGAGAAACGAAAAGAAAAGTGTTTTTGTGGAAAAATGGCCCCAGCGCCATTTCATCTCTAAAACTAGAAATACAGAAACAGTATCAGAAAGCATTGCAATCTGAATGTTGAACTTAATGTACATAGCTTATTCAGGCGATTATTATTATTATTATTATTATTCAGGTCCCAGCATAGGAGTCTAATCGCCTAAGATTTGTATTTTAAAACAAATAGAAAAAAATACTGTTTATTTAGTTTCCGGCTACATTTCAGCGAAGTTCATTTGTTACCGTTATTTATAATATGTCGCTCTGTATATTTCGCCTTTTTCAGTGCTCGTTATCCTCCCAGCCAGAAGAGACAAAAACAGGATATGTGCACACTGATTGGTTATAGTGTTGTTGCTGGGGTAACCCTGAATAATAAAGGCGTAATGACTCCCCAATAACCATAAAATCACCTTGGAGCTTTCCTATTTAATGAGCTCTCGCTTTCTATTTTGCGCCCCACTCATGGGGAAGCTCCTCATTAGAGTACAGCTAGCCTAATGTTAAAGAAACAATAGATAACAAATTTCGATAAAAGCAAAACCAAAGAAAGATCAGTTCCTTTAACCGTACATTGGCTTAAAATATTTTTATTTATAACAGCAAAAATAATTACTCATTTTTAAGAACAATATTATCAAAAATCTTCCAAAGGAAATCGAGTTATGTTGAAATTGTCAAATGCGTTTGTAAGACCTCATGGAGAACACAGTAACAACATTGGTCACCACAAAAATATATTGTATGTCTGTCTGAAATTAGGTCAAAGAATAACAATCTGGTATGCTAAATTTCCAAGTTGAATTAAATGCCTTACACTCACAAATAAAAAGTAATCTCTTGATTGCTGAACAGGGAGAAAGTCAGGTGGACTTGATTCAAGTTTTCAAAATCCTTAAAGGTGCTTTCAAATCCCATCCAATATATGTCTATGCAATTAAGAGTGGAACAGGAAGACACAAGTGGAAACCAACTGCATTTTAAAACCCCAAACTGGATGCCCTTCTTCATACAAAGAGTCACAAATACCTTGAACAAATCATTTTACTGAAACTGAATGACTGGCATCCTCCAATAGGCTGCTAAATCTACTGTCTTCTAGCAACTGAATTATCTAGATCAGTTTATTCCGAAATGAGGACTTCCTTTATTTATAACCAATTGTGTGTTCTAACGATATTTTCATCTCCCATACATGTAAAAAACAATCACTGAACCTTTGGCCTGACATCTGTGGCATGAGACATACAGGACAATATTAAGGTCTGGAGTTAACAAAATAATTCTGACAGGGCTATATAACATAATTTCAAAATATTTTTCTTTCCTCTTTTTTACTGCTCATTGGTGACTAATGGCTTGGCAGGAAAACAACAATCTAGCCTTCACAGAATTTGCCGCAATGACAAGTATATTATAATCTAAGAAAATCAAAAGAAAAGCGTTTAAAAAATATATTATCATCCCTCTTTCAGATGTGATTGGCCAGATTGTAGAAAAAGCAGTGCTTTTGAAAAGCACTTTGTCAGATTCTACAAGTTTCCATAAACCATGAAACCACAGAAGAGACTGTTCACAGATAGTCTGTGGAGAGTTGCTGGGGTTTCTCTAGTCTGCTTGTCTCTATACACATGATCTGTGAGATATTTAAGAGTACATTCAGGGATATTGGTGCAGTAAATTGTCATAAATCATAGTCCTGGTTCTAAAGTAGTCCAGAGGTCAGAAGGGATCCTAACTTCCCAGATGCATGCAATTGACCCTCCTGGCAGCTGCTAAACTTTCAGGCATCTGCTGTTATCAATCTGAGATCCTGCAACTAGCAGACACTAACTCCGACTCAATCTGTGAACTTCAGTTCAGTTTTTTGCACATCTATTTCCCTGCATTCTATTAGCGATCTAATAACTAGATAAAGCAGAGGTACAGCTATAAAAGTACCCGGTTTTCATAAATAAAAAAATGCTGCTTTGGTGGACATAACGGATGAGAAGAAAGTCTTGTAATATACTGGCAACGCTTTAGCAACACAGGACCTGGAGAGCTCCAATCTAGAATGGTTTATAGGTTCCATTAATTTTTTTTCTTCATATTTGATACAATTTAATTGCCATTTACTCAAGTGAGTAATTTAACAATCATTTAAGGAGCTGGTCCCTAGTACTCTTCAGTCCCTAAGTACAAGAGTTCTTTTAATTGAGCGAATTCTTTTGACATTATGATTAATAACGTCCAAGTGTTTCCGAATTTTAGAGACAGGTGGCCTGTAAGATCAACTGGACTGGGGCTCTCCAGGAGGAGGTCTGGAGATTCTCACTTAGCTCATTAGCTCATTATGATATATAATGGCAATTAAAAGACGTAGCAATCTTGAGAAAATTCACTGGAATATATTAAGATATTTAGATACAGTGATTAAAAAATATTCCATAAAATTTGCAATGATCTTACTTCAAAAATCTTGAGCTGATCCAATTGTCAGCGTCAGAATTCAAATCCATCCCTAGTTTATGCATATAAGTCTTCATGATTAGAAATGGATAAGGGCTTACTCTAAGGGTAGATGCCTTTCCTTGAAAGTGTCCTTTCACTCTCCTCTTTTGACCATTTTTTATGTTATTTCCCCTCATGGCCACCTGAGGGAGACAAATAGTAAACACGGTATTGCTTTCATTTTAATTTCTTTTTCACCCTTAATATAAAATAAACGGTCACAACCAGGCGGGATTAACGTACATTGATAGTATTAATTTGAAAAAAAAACTTTTTCATAAGGAAAAACACTTGGAAGTCAAGTTGATATAGTAGTTTGTGTGTGTGTTTAGTCGTTTTAGTCGAGTCCGACTCTTCTTGACCTTATGGACTTTAGCATGCCAGACCCGTCTGTCAGCAGCTGCTTCTCTGAGCTCTTGCAAATTCATATTCATTACTTCAGTAATACTATCTATCCATCTTAACTTCTGCCACCCCCTTCTTATTATTCCTTCAATCTTTCCCAACATCAGAGTCTTCTCCAGTG